GGCGACGGAGCAGCGGCTTGCCGTGCTCGAGGCGACGGAGCGGAAGCTCCTCGAAAGGCTCGACGGGCTCGAGTCGGCGCATACAAGGGAGCTAGCCGCCGCCCAGCAGAAGCTTGAAGCGACCGAGCAAAAGCTCGCCGCCCTCGAGGCGGCAGTGGCAGCGCTGAGGCAGCCCACGTGAGGAGGTTGCGCAGGGGCCGCCGTCGGAAGCGTGGCCGCGGCGGAGCCCGAGCTGCGCCCACGCTTCGCTCTCGCCGCCATGTCACCGCCCGAGGACCCCTTGTTCTCGTCAGCGATAGACAGAGGAGGAGGACAGGTCGCTGCATTAGCGCAGAGGGTGCCGGCTTGTCATAGTGCGAGGCCAACGCGGAGCAGCTCAGGCGACAAACCAAAGCGAAAGAGCTGCCGCACGGGAGGAGTTCACTATGGAGACGGATGGGTGCCTGAGCTGCTCCGCGCTTCAACGGTCTCGCCGTTCTCGCTCAGGCAGCCAAAGGCGTCGAGGTGGCACCGCGGTGTTCGGGCGCTGTGCTCATGCCTTGGGCGCCGTACGCTCTGGCTCAAGGCGGCCCCCGGGAGGCCGCGCGGCCGGCTAACCTGCCGTTGGCAAGTGGCATCCTCGAGCCTCCGCACACGCCGCGGATCGCCGTATAGTTACGGCCCACGCGCCACGGACGGCACGCCACGGCCACACGTGCAGGCCCTCACGGCCCACGACGCGCTGAGATTCGTCGCCACCGGTGTCGCTAAGCGCGGGTGAAGGGAACGACGCGGCGTGCTCGCAAAAAAGATTACATATAGCCCATCCGAACCATACTCCGGCCACCTTCCTGTTCCTCACCACCAGGAGGTGCGTGCGCGCAAGGTCTTTTCTCTAAGCGTCTGGCGCGGCTGCGCGGGCTTGCAGCCTTGCCGTAGCGCCCTGGCTGCCCCGGCTCCACAGCGCGCGCCGAGCCCCTCCCCCCTCCCTCTCCCCGGCTCTACTTCTACGCCCAGTCGGCTTCCCACGTGAGCTGCGCGTCCTTGAGCCCCTCCTTGTACGACCTGCTTCACAGCAAGGCGTGTGAAGAGACGCCGTTCACGCCAAGCGCAACCCCATGTCCATGTCCATGTGTGCTGGGGATGGATAGGGGACGAGGAGGGAGGGGCGGCGGAGGGGCGATTGAAGGCGGGTGATCGAGAGGAAAGGATGTGTGGACAGGGTGGTTTGAAGGGGAAGGCTGATGGTGTCTCAGTCCCCTCATCTCGCATCGCATCTCGCATCGCATCGCATCTCGCATCGCAGCTCGGTTGAATCTCGGCTAATCTCCACTTGTTGTCCGGGTCGAGCTCGAGCGCCTTCTCCCACTCCTAATGCCGA